CCCCCAACCCCAGACGTTCGTCCATCCTCAAGGAACATGGGCCTGTGGGCTGGCCTAGTGTTCTAACTGGACGTGCGTCTGGCAAGATGGGGTTAGTGGGCCGGACCTCGGCTTGGGCCCTTAACCCAACACAAGTCCCCCACTTCTGATGTTCTGAGCTTGCGCAGGACATAAGGAAGTAGGAACTCCCTCAAAGTAGACGTTCGTGTCTTGATACTTGTGTTTACTGCACCCGGTGGAAGCGTACGCTCGTGGTCATGGTGCTTGACAGCTGTCGACGGTTCAGGAAACGAGGTGACGGCCGATGTTGCGGCGGTGCATTTTCCCGAGGAAGTGTCATCATTACGCTTCCATCCCACGCACGGCGCGTGAGCCGGACCACGCTCCTTGCTACGTGTCAACCCCTCGTTGGCCCCTTAACCGGTGCTCCCCCTATAAATGCCGGGTTTTCCCCCTGAATTAGGGTTCCCAATTTCTGCTCCCTTGCCTTAAAATCTCCGCTGTTCTTCGAATTCTCTGCTTGGCTTCTGAGTTCAGCTAGTCTCTTTGTAAGGTAATTTCCCTCCTCTGCTTCTTTTCTTTATTCTGACTCCTAACCGAAATGACTTCGATGGAGATTTCGTCAAGTTCTGATTCCGGTTCGTCGGGTTCTTCTTCGGACTCCTCTTCTGACAATGTGAATGCGCGCTCCCCCGGAAAGGCCAGCGTTTCTGGGACTTCTGGTTCGGCCACGACGGTAGGGACCATCCGGGCTGATGGAGAGCCGGATGACGCTTCCCAAGGCAGTGGGAGCGACGCCGGGGACGGGAACGCCGATGGGGCAGTGGATGTTATTGATGCAGTCCCCCTGAATGAGCGCCCCGCCGATTATGATTCTGGGGAAGAGGCCGAATCTGGTTCTGACATGGAGGTGCATGATCTGGGCATCCCTACGGACATGGAGCGCCACATTTGTCCGATCAGAAGCGCCCTTGACCATGATCAAGTCCTCTCCCGCGTGGCTCTTAACAAAATCCGCACTTTCTTCCCCCCGCCGTTCGTCTGGAGCGTGAGAGGCGCCGAGCACGTGATGAGGCGACGCCCGGGGATGATCATGCTTCACCTGGACTCCGTCGAAGCCGGGCTGCGGTTCCCACTTCATGCATTCTATGTGGAGTTCTTCCACTGCTTCCAGGTGGCCCCGACGCAGTTCATGCCAAACTCTTATAGGTTCATATCGGCCTTGGTGCGTTGCAAGCTCGCAGGAGTCGATGCCACCTTGGATCTGTTCCACTACTTCTTCCGGATCACCCCCCAGAACTCCGACGGTTATCTGAGCGTGGCCGCTCGTCCGGGGAGGAGGCTGTTTAAGAGCTACCCCTCCTCCATTCATGACTGGAAAAACCGGTTCTTCTTCCTCCGCTATGATGGTCCTCCCCTCCCAGTTCGTTGGAATGGCTACCCCCCGAAGATTGAGTCGCCGGAGTTGACCGATGACCTGAGCGAGGCCGTGGAGGGCATCCTGCAGGGCGGCATTCGCCCCATAGCTGGCTATCTGACCTTCGAGGCACTCTCTGGGGCAGGCATAGGTACCGCCCATGTCCTTGGACTCTTTCCACCCTTCGACGCTCGTCTCGGGGCACCGGGCGGTCCTGTCCTTCGAGGTGAGTGTCCTTTTGCATTCTCTGTTCGTCTTTTAACCCCTTATGGTTTTCCTGCAGGTTCTCCGCCAGACAGAGCTCAAATGAATCACGCCGAGTGTCTGAAGACAAGGAAGGCCAAGGCGGCCGCTGCTAAAGCCGCGCTGGCGAAAGCTAAGAACGCCCCCTCCTCAGACTCCAACTCTTCGGCTTCCGATGCTGACCGGCGGACGGCCGAGGGTGAGCAGCATCTAATTGCCACGATGTTGGCCCAGGGGTCCGGAGCCCCTGCTCTCGAGACTGCTCTCCCGCCGCCGGTCGTCTCCACGAAGGCGGCCTCTCAGAAGGGGGCAGAAAAAGCCCCTGAGAAAAAACAAAAGAGGGGTCGCGAGGCAGTCTCCACTGGCCTTCTGCTCGAAGACGCCGGTGCCCTGCCCTTGAGCCGCCCGGCGGAGGAACTCTGGAGGGAAATGGCCCTCAAAGCTGGCCTCGAGCTGCCCCGCCGTTCGTCCTCTGAAGCGACTAGCGCTGCCCTGGCAGCCGCTCTTCAGGTAATTCCTCATTACTAGATCCGAGTACATTTTTTCCTTGACGTTCATCTTCTGACCATTGCCTTTAATTTCCCTTCTGTCATCCAGTCTGGGCTTCTAGTCTTTCAGGCTGAAGCTGCCAGGGAGGCCGATCTGAAGGAGGCCAAAGCGAAAGCTGATGCCGCCTTGTCTCAAGCCCGGGAAGCCGTCCGTCGTGCTGAGGCGGAGGCTGCGGCCAAGGAGAGAGAGCTCGCAGCTCTGCGGTCTGAATCCCGCAGCCAGCTGGCCGGCCTGGAGAGAGCCGGCTTCAAGCTTGTTCCGGTGCTCCCCGTTGAAAAGGGCGCCGACCCAGAGTGGCTGGTTGATACCTCCGGCTTCAAGAACACCGGGGAGTTCATGGACTCTGCCAGAGACTACTGCGCCGGGGCCTTCGGTGACTTGTTTTCTGCGGCATTGGAAAAGATACCGCCTCGCCAGCGTCTGGCCTGCGGCGTCCGGATCCTCGAGAGCTCTCCTCTGTCCCACAAGTTCCTCTATGAGGTCGGCGATAGCACCTTCGCCGCTGGCTATAATGAGGGGGTTAAGGCCACTCTCCCGATATTTGCCAAGCTGCAGGGGGCTGACTTTGATTTGGCCGCGAACACCGATGACGATCTGCTCATCCAAGCTCTGGGGAAGCTAAGGAGGGACCGGCGTCGGGAGGAGGCCAAGGCCAGGGGAGAGATTCCGGAAGCCACCAACCCCTGAGCCTGAAGTCGAGGAGGAAGAGCTGAACTGAGGCGGCAGTCGACCAGGGTCCCCTTTTCTTGTATAATACGCACTGTAATTTCCTTATTTGACTATGTAATGTCCAGCCGTTAGAGCTGAAGAATATACATGCGTTTTGTCTATAATTGACTCCACGTTCGTGATTTCTCACTTCTTTATTTTTCTTTCCTCCATCGTCTGTTTGTATGGAAACTCCTTCGGAGCCTTGATACACCTTTTCGCAAGATTGAAGTCTGCGAGGACGTTCGTATCTGTTCCTTACTTGCTTAAGGCAACGGCGTCCCCCTGCCAAACCTCCGTACGTACTCAAGTGTGCGGAGGTACTGCTCAAGCCCGTCTTCGGGCGTCGATGCTAGGCTCTGATGTCGGCTTACCGTCCTCAAAGTATTCTGACAATGAAACGACGTTCGTCGGTGGCTTATGACGTATACTCCTTAAGTGTGGACATATGAACGTACTTCCCAGAATCAGCGTTCGGTAACGACGTTCGTCTGCCGTCGCGTGACATGAATATTCAAGCTACGTATGGGGACGTTCGTCTGTTCTACATGTTCCAATGGCATGAAGTATGGAAAGACGAACGTAGCCCGTTGATGCATATGTCTCCCACTAGCCGCCGATATTAGGGACAGCCAATGGTCGTGATCTCCGGGCGTCCCGAGTTCCCCGCTGGACGTTCGTGGCTCCGATCCAGCCACCCCTGCCAAGATTATGCGGCGACGGAATCGAGGCACCTTAAATACCGTGGTAGGTACCGGTACCCAGGCGACACGTGTCCCACTTCGGTTGGTGTGTTCCCGCGGTGCTGCGTATAAGTACCCAGAACCCATGTAATTCATTCATACTTCTCCTTACGCTGCACAATTGTCTTCTCTCTCTAGATTTCTCTCAAACCGTATCGGAAGTCCCGAACTCCCAAGGTACCGTTCGTTGCCATGTCTTCTGAAAATCGCTTCGACGATGGCTGTTCTTCCGGTGATGACTTGGAATATTATGAGCGGGGGATGCCGCCTCGGCCTCCCCGTTACAGTCTCAGCTTCTCGTGCGTCAGGCGTCAAATTCAGCGCCTGACGAATGCGGACAAGCGTCTGATCAGCCAATGGTTCTATCCTCCAAGGGCCTACGACGATCGGCGTCTGCGCAACCCCATGCGCCATCTGCCCGGCTATGTGGTGGTCCACTTGGATTCGGTGATAGCCGGGCTGAACTTTCCCCTGCATAGCTTCCACTTGGAGCTTTTCAGGGCCCTTGAGATAGTGCCTGCGCAGTTCGTCCCTGCCGCCTATCGGATAATCGCTGGCTTCATCATTAGATGCCACAGCGTCGGTGTGACCCCCTGTAACATCCTAAAAAAAATAAACATTTTAAAACCTGAAAATAAAAGTAATTGTATATAAAGAATCACAATTCCTAAACAAATTAAAAATTTGTACATTTGATGGATAAGTAAATATGGGTAAATGGGCAAATATATATATATATATATGTGTGTGTGTGTGTGTGTGTCCAACTGGAAAGGAATGAAAAAAAAATGATCGTTCTAAAAAAAAAAATAATGATACATCAATTAAGTAAATTTAAACTTCATAAGACAAGAACTAGCCGGTTACTCCTCCGTAGTAGGAAAATTCTACAAAAAAATTTGATAAGATAATAACACTAATAATAAACAAAATAATAAATTATTAAATTAATAAATTAAATTAGAAGAGCACGTGGCTAAGAACTAAAACATTGGACAAAGGAAAAGCTATACGTGGCTTCACCTAGTTGTGGTAAATTCATATCATGCAAAAGGAACAAATAAAAAATAATATAATAATAATAAATAGCATCAATAAATATGGAACAAATCCAAAGACCTTATACACTTGGCAAAATCTGCATGCTTAAGTGACACTCGGCTCTCCACTCATGAATAGAACAAAAATTGCATGCTGCATATGAATATGCATGCATAAGAATACAAACGGAGTAGGTAAGCTAATCAAACTAATAAATACACATATAAATGAAAGGGATAAATACACATAGTGAGTAGTAGGTTTCTTTGCCGGCAGTGAGAAAATACTTGAGAAATACTTCTCTATAGAAATACTTCTCTATATATAGTTAGCACGCAATGTTGTGAACAAGAAAAGAATTAGAGACACGGCTAAGAGAAAAGAAGAAAGGAGAGGAGAGGAGAATAAAAGGGTTGGAACAAAAGAGAAAATCTTACTAAAAGTCTACGGTCTGTGTTCATTCATTCTCACCAAAATTAAAGATTAAGGTCTGTGTTCATTCCTTCTCCTAATTTTTAATGATATCTTATATTCTAAAAATTTATAGTTATTGGTGTGTAACTTCTTAATTGGTTTTATTGTTTAGTTATATTACCCCGTATTTTGTTTCTCTTATGTTATTTAATTACTCCATTATGCTCTACTTAGATATTGATATACTATTGCTTTGAATATATAAGCTTTTATATTTCGAAAATCAACTTTATAATGAGGAAACAGCGTAATTAACATATTAAATAAAGATAACTTATAACTATATATTATGATTCTAACAAGTTAGAATTCGAAATTAGTAGAAGGGATTAAGAGAAATCATGTACGAAGCTAGCTTAAAATATACGAGTATATTAAGATAATGAAAGTGGATTCGAATTCATCTTTGAAATACTGAATACGTATATGTATTAACAGTGGATTGGATTAATTATTATAAATATTATGAAGTGATTTATAATCAATTATATACGTACATGTTAAGTTTAACTATATGTGTATATGCACTAATGACTTACGTTTGAATACTATTAAACGAAATGATGGGGAATTTAGCCCATCACATAAATATCTTTAGTGGATTATAATGATATCATTGTGAATTAAGAAATATTAGTTATATTAATACTAATGACACAAGCTAAATTTGAATAACTAAAAATAATGGAATTCGAAATCTTGTTTCTGGATTCGGATAGGTTGGCATGCCAATAGGGATAAAAACACGGCCGTAGAACTTGATCAATGATTTCGGGTCCGTAGCCACCGAGTGGACAACACCCAAATCTTGATATTTGACACGCGCGCTTCTGTACGGGTCCGTAGCCACCGAGTGGACAGCACCCAAATATGTTCGTTACGGGTCCGTAGCCACCGAGTGGACAGTACCCCACGAACCCTGGCCAGAGCCACCGAGTGGTCCGTGCCAAAATAGTTCTCTGATGGTCCGTAGCCACCGAGTGGACAGTACCAAAGATGAGAACGTCCCGTTTATCCAGTCCATTAAACTAAGGAGTAGAATTCCAGAAAATCAATAAAAGAATGAAAGTGTGAAAACGAGCAAAAATGACAGAGAACGAAATGAGCGAAAGATGAAAATTGAGCAGATGAAAGTTAAAGTGAGACAATGAGTAAGTGGAAAGGAACGTTGAATTACAACTATGATACTGCTCAAGTGAATTTTGACTTTGAAATAAGGCCACGTGATGAAAATGGAAACACAAAGAATGGATGGAAGAATGATATGAATATAAAAATGAAACACGATAGAAGAATGTAATCTTATATTCAATTGAAGAACTGGGTTTTATTCATGAATTATTGAGTCTGAAATAAGCTAATGTTGAATATGAGAGACAACAAGATAAAATAACCGATTAAATAAAGTTATGATTTTTCGTTTAATATCTTGATAAGAAAGGTATATTTATATCGCTCTATATGTTACAAAGAAAATTACAAGACATTAACAGCTCAATTAAAAAATGATATTTTAATCAGGATGTTATACAATTTTGAAATATATATAAAAATAAATATTTTGAACAGAAGCTGCTACTATACGAAGTAATGATGCATATTAAATTTGGTTTATAAGCTAACAAGGATCGATTTGACTTAGTTGTGATTATAAATAAACTTTTGAGATTTCAACGAGTTGTTTTTTGTATATTATTACCAAGTGAAATGAATATTTAGGTACGTGAAATAAAATGTATTCTTTTGACAAGTCAATGAGTAAAAAATTTCATTTCAGAGAAATTTACGATTTCAATGCAATTTATATTTGTTTTTAATGAGTAGTTTGTTACGTCATATTTTATATTGAGATTAAGGAGAAAGAATGAACACCACTAAGCAAGATTTGCTTAGCGCGTTGGATTTTGTCCTTCGCGTAGGTACATAGCTGATACGAGCCAATGTTCAAGGAGAAAAGCATTTGGGAGCAACCTGCCAATCAACACAGAGTCACACTTGCATTTAATGATATTTTATTTCTAATCTGCATCACTCATATGTAACTCATATGTAGTCAGCATTCCAGTAGAATGTAATAGCAAACACTTAACTTTTTAAGTGTTACATATAAAATATGGATGCTTCCGCAATTATTTATTATTATGAAATTACTATTTCCTTAAAGTTACTATCATTAGCTATTTAAGAATATAAGTATTTCTAGAATGATAAAAAAGATAATGAAAAGTTAGTCAACGCTTTGGTGCTCCGGCACTGCGGGTAGCGCTCCCTGCCCGAGCCTTCCGGGCCGGGTAGGGGGTGTTACACCCCCACCGTCGACCTGCTGCACCATTTCTTTCGGCTGTCCCCCTTCGGACGTACAGGGTATTTGACCCTGATCGCCCGTCCGTCCATGGTCCTATTCTCGAACAATGCTGGGAATCCAGACGGTTGGGAAGAGCGCTTCTTCCTGACCGGAGTAGGCTCACCGATGCCATTCTCTGACCGGTGGAATGCTTACCCCGTGAAGACAATCCCGCCGCCCATGACGGACGAGGAGCTCGGATATGCCAAGCGCATAGCCGTACTTGGCATCCAGAACCTCCGGTTGCTGGTGGCCGAGCCTTTTAAAGCTCAGGCCGGGTTAGGTGCGTCCGTTTGTACTTGTATTGTTTTAACATCTCTTCGCTGTTATGGCTCTGAACGTCTTGGTTCCCTTTGTGCAGGAATTTTCCCATCCGCGTCTACCATGAGCCGAGTCCACACTGCTTCGACAGCCGCTGGCCGTGAGCACAAGGGGCATGACAAGCCCGGGAAGCCGCTCGTCCCCAAGGTCGAACCTCGGGTGACCAGGGCACGAGCTGATGACACTTCGGGGGCCGGCGCCTCCAAGAGGCCGTGTGTTGAGGGTACCTCCTCCAAGGCCATCATCGTGGCCGATGACTCCGATGGGGAGCCCGGAAGCCCCCTCAAGCGGAAGCCCACTTCCCGGACCAATCTCCGTGCTTCTCCTCCGAGGAATTCTGACGTCCGCCATCTCCGGGATGATGATGCCCCAACCGCCAAAGGTTCTGACGACGTTCGTCCAACTTCGCCTCCAGAAGCCAGTGGGTCTTCTCTTGGCCTGATTGAGTTTTCCGGGGTTGGCCCCCGCAAAGAGTCAATGATGCTCTTCGGCCAGACAGCGTCCTCCATCTGGTGTGGGCTGAATCTCAAGGTTCCGCAGGACTTCGCTGCCCAGGAGGCCCCTGAAGATCTCTTGGAGTGCGGCCAGAGCACCCTGGATAAGGCCGGGCTCTACTTTCACAGGGCTCGGATGGCCTTCGAGCATCAGGGCAGGGAGATGGCCAGGGTGCGGGCCGAATGTGACGCCCTTCTGAGGAATGCAAAAGGCAGGGCTGGCACTCTTCAAGAGAAAGCCGATGCCTATGATAAGCTCGTCCAGGAGAATGCCTCTCAGAAGGAGCTCCTCAAGAAGCAGGAGGCCGAGCTCGTGGATCTCCGCAGCCGGATGTGGGCCGTAAAGCAGGCCAAGGTGGAACTCCGCCAGACGGGCGTGGACAACCACGTCCCTATTTATGAGGCCGATGTTGCCAAAATCAAGGAGTCTGGATCCATAGCGTTCCAAAGATCCAAGGCTTATACTGACGCCATTCACACCATGGCCATGAAGTTCCTTCCGCGGCTCGTCGGCGAGTTTCTGGCCACCTGCCCGGATGCCTATCTGGATGGGGTTAAATTGCTCCAGGCCACCCCCACCGGACGTCGTTTTCTTGACGATCTCGCCGACGATACCTATCGCAAGGGTATGGTTGGTCTAGTAGCGGAGAATCTTTCGACGTTCGAGCGTCACTTCGGGGCTCCCTTCGATCCGGAGGCGGCTGGCTTTGACGTCCTGATGGCAGATGCCCATGCGGGGGCCCTTGAGCTGCTGAAGGAGCAGGAGGAAGCCGAAGCTAGTGAAAATCCAAGCAGACTCTTTCCAAGGCTCCAGCTCCGGACGTCGATCGGCAGTGATTCTTCGTTCATTACCTTGTACTTGTACAATTTTTTCCATTATTTGCATTGTACCTTCGCACATTGTAATTTTCCGGCCAATAGTGCCGAAGAATAAAAATCATTCTTTGCTCCATGCTCTTCTGGCATCTTTTTTTTTTTTTTTTTTTGGAGTCTTTTAGTCTTCGTTCGTCCTTGGTCCTTGGTCCTACCGGCGTCCCTACCTCGAGGAGGCGTTCGGTATCCGCAGACATCGCAAGGAGGAACAGGTTTATCTACATCGAGATTCCCCCTTTTTTCGTTCGTCCGTGGTCCTTTTAGTCTTACCGGCGTCTCTTGCTTCGAAGATGACGTTCGGTACCCAAGGAACTTGCAGGGACGAACAGATTTACCCTCACGGGTTCCCGACTTTGTTATCCCACGTCCATCGATCCATGGTCATTTGTGGGATAAACAGGTTTATCTTGGCAGGCTCCCTTGGTTCGTCTAACCCCCTCCGCGTCTCTACTAACCTCTACATCGAGAGGCGTTCGTCTTCGGCGGTGGGGGAAGATCTGGCACGTCCGGGCAAGATTCCCTTCCGCATAGGAGCTACTCTCCCCTTCTCCCCGTCCTTTTTTTTTTTTTTGAGGGAGGCAATCTATACTCTTCGTTCGTCATTGGTCCTTGGTCCTACTGATGTGAGTTTTCTCGCACTTAAAATAGTTGTAGAAAAGTGGTGTAAAGTACGAGTATCGTCTCCACAGGGACGGACAAAAGGGAAATAAAGATTAACTAAATTCAGCGATTAAACAGAAATAAATAAATTAAAATGCGATGTGCGAGATTTGATTGATTGAATTAAAATTAAAACTAATGCTAATGCGCGATAAAAATAAAAGATTGGTTTCTTCTCAATTAACGACGAAGGGAGCAGGGATTGATTCCGGGGTAACTAGATTTCTGGCAGATCAGGCCTAATTACATGAATTTAATTTAATTGAGCCTAGCTAATCATTACTAAGTTCTTACCGCTCTCGCGGCGTAGAGTACAATAATTTAGGGGACCAGGCTGATCTCTCATGCGACAGGATCCTAAATTATTGCCAAGACGAGCGAGCTTACGGCCCCTTAATCGCTACTAATCTCTTAGCGAACGATTAAGTGTGTGTGAATGTGTCCTAGAACAAATTAGATCTCTCTTAATTTATTCTACATGCAATTGTAATTCTAGCTGCAGTCTAGGTTACAAGAGATATCAATTAAATTATTCAAACACAAATTAAACGGCATTCATGCAATTAAACCGACAAGAATCTAACCATACATCATGATTAACCCCTTCATCAATCCCAAATCCCTAATTAAACTACTCACAATTCATAATTGAAGAATCAACAGAATTGGGATGAATAGAAATAATTGTCATTAATTAAAAAGATGAACTTACAAATAATCCCAGGGTCTTGGAAGAAAATAGCGTAAAAACGGTGTTAAATTCGTCCCTAGGCCTCTCCGTAATGTTCGTAACCCTCAAAAATGGGTATGGAGGCCGTATTTATAGAAAATAACGAATTCGGGTCGAATTAGGACGAATCGCGGCCAGGCACGGTGCCAGGCACGACCGTGCCTGCACCTGTGCCTACGGAAGGAATCCCGTATTTCGCGTCCAGGCACGGCGTGCCTAACTGCCAGGCACGACCGTGCCTGGCTTCCGGTAGCCAATTTCCTCGAAATATGCCAGGCACGGCGTGCCTAGCTGCCAGGCACGGCGTGCCTGGCCTCCAGTAGCTCCCAGGAAAATTTACGCTTCAGGCACGGCGTGCCTAGCTGCCAGGCACGGCGTGCCTGACCCTATTCTTCACTTTTCCTTCGTTTTCTTGCTCTGAATGCTCCCGGATGCCAATGAGGTCGATCCAACTGCTCTTTCTTCACCAGAATTTCGTCACGAATCTCCCGGTGGCCTCCAAATCTTCCAAATCTTTCTCGAATGCCTTCAAATCCTTCCCGAATGCCTCTCAAGCGCCGATTGCGGGACTCTAACTTCTTCAAATCAACTTCAAATGCAATGAAACTTGATCCAACGCCTGCTAAACACAACTTGAGCTAAAATTGAGACTTGCATCGCCTTAAAGCTAGGAAAATCATCAAAATCCAACCCGAACACGCATCAAATGCGTGTCTAAATACGGACTTATCAGACTCCCCCACACTTAAGCTTTTGCTTGTCCTCAAGCAAATCGAACAACGGGACTTACGATAATCACCACACGGAATTTAAAACAGTTAGCATACATACGTAGTTAAAGGGATATTCACAGGATAGACAATCTAAACCAAGAAATTTTTTCCCTAAACTACATCTTTGTACTCAAGCTAATCCATTTGACACAATTATTCACAACACCCTCAAAGTAATGACAACCTACAAATAAGCTAGCTACTGATCAGAAGGACTTATGAATGTGATGTTGAATGGATAATAATGATAGTCCCTTTATTTTGAGAGATCGGAATTTTCTAACAAAGACTCAATGCATTCAGGAACTTCAGGGCTATTCCTAGGGACAAGGAACTCAGTAGGCCACAAATTAGGAATAATCATTTAAACCTATGCAAAGAGTAGACATGGTGTACAACTAAGCTAAACCGCCGCGGCACATTTGTGCTTTGACGTATACTTGAAGTACGCGGAGGACTAAAGCTAATTTTTTCAATAGCCTCCAAGTTCATTAATTATGGTTTAGTTTTCCTTGTCATGTTGGCACGAGAACGCCATTTCTTTCGAAAGATACCCAAGTCTCATCTTACGCTTTTTGACCGGGGTTCCCATTCTCTTTTTCGAAAAGTAAGAGGTCTAGCTATATTAATTTTTCAATTTTCAGATTTTTACTAGACATTACCCCATTCTAATCTCAGCCTCACCAAGGAAAATTAGCAATTAAAGTTCAATTATTCAAGGTGAATCCATGCCTACAATGCAATCCTCGAAAATATCAAATTCCTTAAAAGTGACTGCTCTTACCCTATTTGGGGCATAGGAATAGTGCCAAAAATGGCTCCTACACAAAATTCCCTAAATTTAACAAATTAATCCTTTAATTCCCTAAACATCAAGACTAAGTCAGAAATATTCACGGGTAAGGAAACAGGCCATTTGGCTATGGAGCTCAATTAATCGGGTAACGATAAACGGTCAGGCTCAAAATGGCTTCTCCTAAAGGGTTCTTTCAGGTGGGGTGGATGATTATTGGAAAATTCAATGGGTGACTAATGCCTTCATCCTCTCAACAACTAGATTATAGTGCAAGCAATTTAAGCCTAAACACTTCAAAGATGTTCTAAAAGCATAGTCAAAACGCTAGCCAGCTCACAAAGACACAGTTTAAAGAAAAATTTTCAAAAATTTTGCATGAATTTCCTATGAATATACAACTAACACCTGCGCATGCTAACTCTAACAAATCACATGTGACAACTACTGCCCGAATGCCCAATTCACTCCCCCACACTTAAACTTTGGCATCGCCCTCGATGACCAAATATGCATTATGTACTAGGGGTAAAGAGGAAAGGGTCACGCGTGCTCAACTTAACTCAAGTCAATATTTCAACAAGCGAGTAAAAGAGTCAAAGAAACTTCCCTATAGCGCTGGTCGGTGCAGAACTAAATTGAGTCAATGATCCTCGGCACATCATCCCTAAAACAAGACCCCTGAGCTGCAACAAAAACACAAAGCAAAACAACCAAACAACAAACAAAGAAAAAATAAAAGTAAAAATAAGCTCGGGTTGCCTCCCGAGAAGCGCTATTTTTAACGTCGTGTGCCCGACGCAACCACCTCATCAAAAACTCAATCAAAGACACTCCCACTCAGAAAATTAGTCTTCCACAAATCAAACCTCCTATCAACAAATGCCCTGAGATGGCGTAAGACCTTAAATTCATGAAAACAATTGCACATCTCAGGGTTTCCTGTACAGCAAAATAATGAGTCTAGGCCTTTATCAGGCCCCTTAGCAAAGAATGGGTCTAAGAATGAATCACTCCCTTTCATGTCAGAAATTTTCCGGGCTGGAGCTTCCTTTTGTTCACTAAGAAATTGAAAATGTGCTGTATTTTGGGATGGCTCATGCCCGGATGCAAAACTAACAGGGAGGTTAAGTCTGTCATGAATAAAATTACCCTCATTTAAATTACCTCTCGTCTCTTGCTCAGAACTAGCATCACTTGAATCCTCCCCTCCACTT